CAATGACGCAGCATCAGTCGGACTCTGGGCGGTGTGAAAAGAGCCGGAGCTAAACCGAAGAACCGGTTCTGAACCTGAAAAGCTCTAGCACGGAGCTTGAACCGGAGTTGCGTTGGTGTGAATGAGGTATGAGAGGCTCAGTGAACTAAAGGACTGAGTGTTTAGATAGTTAACTTTAGTCGAAGTTATCTCAGTGGGTCTCAAACGGTTTGGTCACCATTAATGTAAACAATTATTTCCGAGGCACACGTTTATATGATCATTATAGTTATACAAAAATAAGAGAATAAATGAAAAGCAGGTATGAAATACTATATGACAGTAAAAAAAGAATAAAGTTTAAAAGGGGAGTGATTTGTAAAATATCCATAAAGAAAAAGTAAATCTGTTTACAGTTCTGCTTCATATGGGTGTTGAGAGAGGTATCCATAGATCTCTTCATTTTGCTCTCAAAGTGCACCAGATTGATGCTTTTAACTTCAATATTTAAAAACAAATCTTCCCGGGGGAGCATGCCCCCGGACCCCCCTATGTTAGGTCCACTCCCCACCAAAAATAGCCCTTTACCCCTGCTTACACCTATATGCCGTTAGCTGATTATCGAGCCTTCATTGTAACAGTTGCAGGTACACTGTGTATTTGCGTGGGGATTGTTGCAGTAGAAAACTCAACTGTAGCGCCCGGTACATTAATGGGAAACCCTAAATGTTTGAGCACCCTCTATGAAACATCAAGCTACCCCACAGCACCCCCAAAATAAATCTCTGGCGCCGCCACTGAGCCTGCAACCCCGTTGTGAAGAAATGTGCAGTGCAAAACAGGCTCATTGCAGCCACTAATGATAAGACACACTTTTCTGCCAAATATCAGCATTTTGTTTCTTTTCATTTTTTTGCACGGATTGCAAAGTGGCAAAGTATTATAACTTATTGTTCTATTTATTTGTTTGACCACACAGACTTATGGAGCATTGTTTTATTATCACTGTTCTAGCAAAGTGTTTTTTTTTTTTTTTAAAGGAATGCTCACGTTCATATTGATGTATTTTAATAAATGTTAACTTGGCCCATTACGTGACTATTTGTGTTGGGGCGGCCCGACTTTCTTTTTTCTCCAAAGGGGGGGCCTGACAGAAAAAGTTTGAGAACCACTGCATTATATTAATAGAACAATAATGTCATTGTTAGCTAATGAATGTTTCGATGCTGAACAACGGCAACATGACAACGTTTTCATTGGTCCCTCTTCTTTAGAGAAGACCAGGAAATGATGGATACACGGATCGTGTTCAAATCAATAGGCACGCAATGACTCTAAATAATAATGATCACGCCACCAAACACACATTCAAACTAAAGTAACCAGTCTGTTTTGAAAATGTAATAAGTAGAAAGTACAGGTATTTGTGTTCAAAATGTAAGAAGTAGAAAGTACAGGTATTTGGGTTCAAAATGTAAGAAGTAGAAAGTACAGGTATTGGTGTTCAAAATGTAAGAAGTCAAAGTAAAAAGTTGTCAGAAAGATAAGTAGTGGAGCAAAGTACTGATACCAGAAAAATGTACTTAAGTACAGTAAGGAAGTATTTGTACTCCACTACTTCCTCTGCAAATATTGCATATCAGTTGGTGAACTTTATAATCCCTGAACATCAACAAGCACTCCCGGTCCCAACTTTTATGCATCACTTTTTACGGTCCCTGTTTCAGCTGTGTTTTGAGCTTCCTGCAGCGTTTTGTACAGTATATGCAGCACCTTTAGTAAACGCTCGCATGTTGCATCAAGTTGGTGAAGATGTGTGTTTATTTGAATGTGTTTTGGCACATTTGTGTCTTTTTATTAGCCTAGTTTTTGAAACTTCAGCACGTTTCTCCTAATGAAACTGTTTTGGGCCGTTGTAACGTAATTGCACCCATCGGCCATCGTACTCTTTGGTCAAAAGAATCAAATAAAAATAACTTTATTGGCTTATTGAACATTGTTGTGACTTTATAACGTTACAATAAGCATTAGCTTGAAGGCCAGCATGAGACACTCAATCAAAGTGTACTTGTCATAGTAGATCATCATCATAGAAAGCTGGAATCATATTGAAATACCATATGAATAAATTATGTCTGGCTAACTTGGTTTCAAAATGGAAGTAAATAATGACAAAAATCTATCTCAAGTGAGCAATGCAATCAGTGGCTTGCAAACCTCATTTCCTAACCATCCAACATATCATCTTGCAATTCCTGTGTTAATCCAGAAAATAGAGTAACGCTTTATGGACACTTTAATACATTAATGTTGCATTTAGTTTCTCTAAAGGGAACATTTCTAGCAAAGCCTTTATATTTGTCCTTGCCAAGCTCAAAGCCACCTACTGTACCATGACCAGAATTGTGATCATGTTTTCTTCATAGTCAGAGAAAGAGATGTCATTATGGTAAAATGTGCTCTCAGTTGGAAGTCTAGCTTATTTTCAGGAGCGTTAATCAAATACTGTCACCAGTGTTTCCGCCAGACCAGGGCTGAGAGGGCGTCCACCCCGAGAGAGGGGGGTGACGTCATGTCACGTCACTTGAATTTTAAATTGAGCCGTCCCTTAAGTTATAGATACTATCTCTTTACGTATTAGTGATGGGAATTCCGTCTCTTTTTAGTGAGCCGGATCATTTGGATCGGCTCACTAAGAAGACCCGGCTCTTTCGGCTCCTAAACGGCTCTTCATTTTACCACAGTTTACCACGGAGCCTCAGTTTCGCCGCTGCTCCGGCGCTCGCAGTTCACGTGCGTGCTCCACTAGCACCCCCCGTCAAGGCTCGCCGGCAGTACACTTTCCATCACAGGAACACACTTTGCTGGCGGCGAAAATAATCCCACCAGACTCCTTTGCCCCTCCAACAGAGGGATGTCCTTGTCCTTTTTCCTTTTCGTCATTTCAAGCTATAAAAACTCGATCTTCTCTCAAATTATTAATTTTTTTTGGACGCCCTCGGCTCGAGTTCAGGGCGTTCTGAGCTGAATAAGGGCGTCAAATGACGGCAAGACGCCCCCCTGGCGGAAACGCTGACTGTCACACTGAAAAGCATTCCTTTAATATGACAGTGAACTGATCTCTGGGGGGGAAAGTGAAGTCTAAAGCAGTAGATGTAAAAACTGATGGATTCTTAATTGTTTAGGCAGATAAGGTATTACAAAATGACTTATTTAGATGTTTTAACTACTAGTGGGACAATCCCACCCACATTTGCTTTCACACTTTAGGTATTATATACATTGTGATGTTTAACACAGTAATGTGACAAATGCATTATAAAGTTGTATCTAACTTTTTTTTATCTGAAGAAATGTTAAACCAATAGAAAGTATCGTTCTCTGACTTTGTTCTGTAAGGTTCTACCTACGAAGGACCAATCAGTGCTCGGAGTTTAGAAAGAGAAATAATACAATGTCACCTCACTGCTCTATAAGTGAAACTGAAGAAGCTGTAACAAAACAAATATTGCTAAGCTAGCTGTCTACTGTACTGTTAATGTAAAAACTCATGCTGCTATTTGATCGAAAAATAAATATAGGTATGAGTGGCTTGAGTCATTATGACTGCAACTGGTTGTTAGCAAGTTACGGTGCGGTGTCTCAATCCAGTTTATTCCATTAATACTGCCATGTGAGTGAGTTTTGACAGTGTAGCATTTTCTCAAATCACAAACAGCTGCTGTGTCCTCAACAGAAGGGATGATCACCACTGTTACCTATCTAGCTAGCTAGCAAGCAACTATCATTCGCTAAATCATTACAGACTGCTAAATCAAAATTATTAACATGGCATCTTATCAACAACAGTGTATGTTACTTAAATAGTGAAAAAATAAATACGTGTAACATTTATTTGTATAGTGCTGTGTTTAACAGATGAAAACTCAATGGCAGCTAGTTGCTGCTTAGTAACAATCATGACCTCAGCTGGTTCGGGGAAAACTAAGAACAGCAGGAAGAGTACAGCAGCAAACACGGGAAAAAAACGTAACTAATAGTAGCTTATAAGTAGAGAAGTGATGGTAGTATTGTAATATCTTATTTGAATTATTAACTACCTCTCAACCCTATCAGTAATAATAATAATCATTGTCATGTCACAAAACATTTTTGTATTCCCCAAACAGTCATGTGGAACTATTTAAATGTTCTCTCTAAAAAAAACAATGACTTCCTGCTCTGCCGTAGCAGCCTCAGTCTTAGCTTCCCGCTCGCCTTAGCAAACGAAAGTTTATCGTTCATGGCAGAGAATACATTCTGAGCATGAAAGGTTGGATCCAAATTGTGGGGAGAGTTTGATTGGATATGAGATTTTACAATGAATAAAAAGGGTGCCTGTTATGTAACCGTCTGATATCTAAGAATGGGTAAACGTTGACCTCTTTTCATCTTAATATGTCAAATAACTAGAAAACACTGCTAAACACTGAAATGAATCCAGGAAGCAATGTGCAACATCACCAAAAGGTGTTTTAACGTTGATTCAGGGTTCTTTACAGGGGATTTTCTCTGTAAGGATTAACTCTGATTAGATTAGATTAGATTAGATAGAACTTTATTAATCCCGAAGGAAATTCTTTTTGCCAGGTTGCTCCAAAATTGCAATACAGATAATACAGATACAGATTGCTGTGTAAAGGGCTAACAAAGTAATGCCTCCTGAGCCTACTGAGTCAAATGCAGCTGGGAATTGTAAAGCCTTGGGATATGGATGAAAAGCTCATAGTCTCTGTCAGACAGAAGTTTCTCTGGGTTTTGATTTAGAGAAGATTTCCTGTTCTGATCTCAGCAGTGATAAATTAAAGCCAGTCGCTGTCAGAGAAGGACAGTCGTGCTTGTATCCGAATGTTTGATTAGTTCTGTCTCAAACTTCTGCCTGAAATTCATCCGCCATGTCAGCTTAACATCGAGGTTCCAACCCCAGAAGATTCAGAAACGCATTTAATCAAAAGACAGATGTCAGGTCATCTAAATGGTACCTTGCGTCCTCCAGTGTTGAGCCTCAGAGGGGTCAGGTAGGGGTCAAAGATCATGTGGCTGGTCTCGATGTCGATGGGCGACTGTCTCTTCCCTATGGAGCACAGGTTCCAGGCCGAGTGCACCAGACCCCAGAAGGATGGGACTGGTGGAGAAAGAGAAGAGAAAGAAATATTAGCATTCATTAGTGTGTGTGCTTTAGTGCTCTAGTTCAAACCATGGACATTGAGAGAAAGTGAGCAGAAGAGCTTCATTATCATGAGAAATGTTGAGTTTAGTAAGACTTTTAAATAGGACTTCATAAATATCTGACAACAAAACTAGCTTTATATTAAAGTCTCTGCAAGTTTAACTAAGGTAAAGACACTGACTTTATTAAAGTCTGTCCAACAGTTCTCACACTTTCCATTGCTTATAATAGACAGCGGTGGCTCCCAACCTTTTCCTCTTTTACACGACAAAGTGTCCAGTTGTGAGCCTCATCACACGATCTGCTCTACTGTAGATCATGGGTCAGGAACTTTTGTCATTTAGGGAAACAATTTTCTGCAAACAGATTTCTTTCATCTTTCTCTCAATAATTCATCTAGATTTGTTTTGGTACCCCATATGAGTGCCATATGCCCAGTTTGAGAAACACTGAATAACAATTCTTCTCATAGCTATCCCAGCAGGGCAGTGTGAATGCATTTCTCCATAAGGTCACAGGTTAAACTCCGGTGAAAATTGCCTTACAATGCAGGGTAGATTTAAAAATGTACTCCCATTGTAAAGTTGATGAAGCAAGAAATATCATCTTATTTTTATGACATGCATGCTTCCTCTTAAGGCCCGGACACACCAAGCTGACACCAAAGAACTGACACAGACGGACCCCGACTGTCGCGTCGCCTCGCATCTCTGCGTCTTGGCCATGTGTCGCACTGGAACACACCGCAAAGACTTCAGCCGACGGCCAAGAAGCACGTACGAACTGCGCATGCGTGAGTGGCAATAACTCTCCTTACCAGCAGGCGGCGGTAGTGTGTATTCGTCATTCAAAAGAGGCAACAACCGGAAGACAGACTGCGTGATAACCGAGAGCAGAAGAACAGACTGCGTGATATAAACAAACAACAAATAGCGTGTGCGTTCCATTTTCACTCTACAGCGAGAAGCTCATGGGGCTTTCCCCAACCTGTGTCGAGAGCTGGAGTTAAATTAAATCTCAGATTTGCCTTCTTAATAGTTTGTTTGGGTCCCTCACTTCCGTTTCGCTTCTCATGCACTGATTCGCTAGCTGAACAGCCAATCAGAGTGATTTCTTTTGCCGACAGCCTTTGGCCGACTGCCCACCGATTCGACATGTTGAATTTTTCGCCCGAAAAGGTGTCGGCACGGCTGAAAAGACACAACGGTGCGGGACACACCAATCTGAGTAGGGCGTGTCGACGCTCATCATCGGCCTGATGCCCATCGACGGCCAAAATCAGCTTGGTATGTCCGGGCCTTTAGTCAAAACCTGCCACCTTCATTACCCATAATGCAACTCGTCCACAGGCAGTTCAGTTGGAAAATGAGTTATGCTAGTAGTGTCCTTCTTTCTCAATAGCGATTTTTAAAGGAGAGGTGTCATGCTTTTCCGGTTATTAACCGTCCCCTTGTGTGTTATGAAGGTTTTTATGCATGTAAACGGTGTGCAGAGTCACAAACCCTCAAAGTACACCCTGTAGCGAGTAAAACTCTAACACAGAAAATACCTCCCCAAAACGCCTCGTTGGAGATACGTCATTGTCCATTTGATTCTTCCGGGTACGGGATGATGTTCTCCCGTACCCGGAACGAAATGGACCAATCCGTGGAGCCGTTACGTTACGTCCGCAGAGCCGTTACGTTAAGCCCCCGCTGATTGGTCCAAATTGACCAATCCACGGACTTCCTCACACACAGGCAGCTCAGCTGATTTCTCCTCCCTGGCTGCAGGCTGATGACAGACAGTTGGGATCGCGGCGAAATTCTCTCTGCAGACCCATTCAGCGTTTATCAACCTTTTTCTTACTCAATATCAAGCCACACTTATTGTTTTTACTTCGGCTGTGACTTTGTGTGAGCTCAGGATGAGTTTGGCTGTGTTTGGCTGTGTATCGCTAACAAGGAAACAACACCTCCACGGAGCTCAGCGCGATTCACAACGTCCCGACCAATCAGAGCACACTGTGCTCACAGGGAGGGTGGGGGCTGGAGCTATTGGAGCTACAACGAGCCGTTAAAGGCAGAGAGTGAAATTCAGTGAATACACGTAGTTTACAGAGATGCTGTATGAGAAACCAATGTGAGTTTGGAAAAATGCACAATATAAATCTATTCTAGTAGACCTCAACAATGGAATTATGATCAGTGGAAATGGCCATGACATGGGCCCTTTAAGACCAAATTCAACAAGTGACTTTTCATTGAACAGCCAAATCTGTTTCCCTTTTTTACCTGTTTCGTACTGAGATGTCAACTTAAGATCATGTGACTTTTAGGTAATACATCTTAAAACAATAGAGTGCTGCAATGATGACGTATTTTTCCATGTCAAACCAGAGGTTAGCATCCTGGAGTAAAGCAATAGGAATTTTCCATTGGATTTTGGAATATTGCAGAAAATAAGATTTGTAGCAAACTTACATGTCCACTTGTATATTATTTGAAGCGCTAAGCTCTAGAAACAAACTACATCATGGTCGCATTACTTCACGTCGCCACCGCTAAGCTAAAGGTGGCTATGTTCTGCATGATGACATTAAGTAGTCTTATTTGGACACTTGTTAGCAACCGCTGTTTTATGACACGTAAAGATTCAGACATTTATGGGGTATTGACTGACGTATTTATGATGTAGTACAAAACATAAACCACAGAGCTTATTTCGGGAATCAAACCAAAAACTCAACAACAAAAACACTGACTTGGGAGGGAGGGAGCCCTGTTATTAACCGTCCCCTTGTGTGTTATGAAGGTTTTTATGCATGTAAACGGTGTGCAGAGTCACAAACCCTCAAAGTACACCCTGTAGGGAGTACAACTCTAACACAGAAAATACCTCCCCAAAACGCCTCGTTGGTGATACGTCATTGTCCATTTGATTCTTCCATTTCGTTCCGGGTACGGCATGATGTCAAGCCGTACCCGGAACGAAATGGACCAATCCGTGGAGCTGTTACGTTACGTCCGCGGAGCCGTTACGTTAAGCCCCCGCTGATTGGTCCAAATTGACCAATCCACGGACTTCCTCACACACACATCTGTGTGCAGGGAGCAGGCAGCTCAGCTGATTTCTCCTCCCTGGCTGCAGGCTGATAACAGACAGTTGGGATCGCGGCGAAATTCTCTCTGCAGACCCATTCTCACAGCGTTTATCAACCTTTTTCTTACTCAATATCAAGCCACACTTATTGTTTTTACTTCGGCTGTGACTTTGTGTGTGCTCAGGATGAGTTTGGCTGTGTTTGGCTGTGTATCCTAAACAAGGAAACAACACCTCCATGGAGCTCAGCTCGATTCACAACGTCCCGACCAATCAGAGCACACTGTGCTCACAGGGAGGGTGGGGGCTGGAGCTATTGGAGCTACAACGAGCCGTTAAAGGCAGAGAGTGAAATTCAGTGAATACACGTAGTTTACAGAGATGCTGTATGAGAAACCAATGTGAGTTTGGAAAAATGCACAATATAAATCTATTCTAGTAGATCTCAACAATGGAATTATGATCAGTGGAAATGGCCATGACATGTCTCTTTTAAAGCTGGTGCTGCGATAGCTACATTGATTTGAAAAGAGTTGTCAACATTGGGCTGGGTTATTTTCATTATTGATCAGCAGTGGAACTTTAAGCCAAACTATGATGGCTGTGTAATTAAATTGCGGTTATTACACAGCTTGTTTGAATACTATATTCTGATGGTCAATTTAAATGTCTGCTTTTTCCTAATATGGTCTGCTAAGGATAGCATGCCTTTGCTAATACACTCTTATCAATAGATCATGTACAGTTATATCAATCCACAAACATAATTCCATTCAATTTAAATTCCACTTTGGCTAATAGCTTCCCATTAGTTTCCCTTTCATTACTTCACCAGAAAACACCATGGAATACTTTTGAGTGATCATTTTCATATATAAGTTAAGAGCACAACACTTTAGATTCATAATTAACTGTCCTGAATAAAGAAAAAAAGAACAAGAAGAACAATAAAACAGCATAAGAGAAAAAAACCTACACAAGACCTACACCGCTACATCACTATCGACACAGTTCAGAGGTTGCTACGCAGTAGAACGGACTATTTTGTCTTAGTGGAAGCAATACAATAAGTATTATTATTTTGAGTTCAATAATTGATTTATTTTGTAATAATAATAATAATAAAGTGTGTTTGTGAAGCATCTTTCATAGCTAAAAGCAATCCTCAAGTATTCGTGTAATAAGCAGGATAATGTGCAGGCTCCCGTCTAGCTGCACATTATCCCTGACTCAACATGCGTTCTGAATCAGAGGACTGTATGGAATAACTATGGTCGATTACACCACTAGTTTTAATCATGTGACATGGTTCCAAATGTTATAATATATGTGTCTACAAGCTGCTGATCTGTTTAGGATTATCGCTGCAGCTGATCCTGTCCCGGGATGGGGATTGGACGGGAGTGTTGCACTGACAGATAAACCCAAAGCCGGCCAGATGTGGCTGTTTGACTTCAAACAGAGACACATCAGAGCCTCTTGAGGCCCATTTGTGATTGTGATAGTGGGCAATATAAATAAGATTGACTTCAATCTTTTTACTGTGCAGAAGTCCAAACACATGTCCTTAGATGAACATACCAAAGCCACTGTAATTTGACACACACACACAGATGAGAGGGTTTATCACTAGCTAAACTGTGATAATGCTTGTCAGAGAGAGGCTTAATGACAATTCACAGTGTAAAACAGCTATCATGGTAAAAGAAAACTCATCAATTGTAGTTAATGTGCTCGGCTAAATGCGAAGGACGTTTAAATGATTGATGTGTGTGAGCTTCAAACACATTTGATGGCTTTCATGACCAGCTGCATGCCGTTTGCATATTCACACCTGCACAAGGCCCGAGACACAAACCTTTACTTCCGGTTTG